CTGTACATTCTACATTCAGACTATCTTTGACTGTTTATGTACATTATACACCCAGACTATACACTATGCTGGACATGCCCTAGCCATCTTCTATTGTTCATATCCAATATTTTGATAATATTCATCTCATCTTAAAATGGATTTTCTTGAATTATATAATGTCAATTACAAAAGAATGGGAATTAACGTCACATCTGGCTTATTATGGTTTAATAGTGAGAAAGTTGAAAGCCAATTATTATAACCCCCAGCCCACCACATATCTTGATTGCAGTCTTTTCTGTGTTTTGAATAAGTCTAAAAACTAAAGCATATATGTGACTAGGTCTATAAATATATTTTTGTAGGAGGGGGCAGTACTTTTCAGCAGTTGCCGCCATCTGTAGTGGGTGTAGAGACCAACAGCAGGGCGTCCTTCCCCCTAGTCCTGACTCATGCCTCCAATTATGTTCTTCACAGGGTTGCATTGCTTGGGTAAGAAGCCCTCTTTACTTCAAACCAGTATAATACAATGTAAAGTCCTTTGTATCTATGACAACAAGAATAATGTTCTTGTATACAATGCATGTATATAGTTTTTATGTGACAACCAGTAGTACCGTGTGTAATATATAAATGTATGTAGACATCTGTGTGACAACCAGTATTATGTAATGTATAAATGTATGTAGACCTGTGTGACAACCAGTATTATGTAATGTATAAATGTATGTAGACTTATGTGTGACAACCAGTATTATGTAATGTATAAATGTATGTAGACCTGGGTGACAACCAGTATTATGTAATGTATAAATGGATGTAGACCTGTGTGACAACCAGTATTATGTAATGTATAAATATATGTAGACCTCTGTGTGACAACCAGTATTACGTAATGTATAAATGTATGTAGACCTCTGTGTGAGAACCAGTATTATGTAATGTATAAATGTATGTTGACCTCTGTGTGACAACCAGTATTATGTAATGTATAAATGGATGTAGACCTGTGTGACAACCAGTATTATGTAATGTATAAATATATGTAGACCTCTGTGTGACAACCAGTATTATGTAATGTATAAATGTATGTAGTTGTTTGATGTTACTTGTGAATGTACTTGCTTGCACACCAATATTGTGTCTCATTGTTTGTAAGATTGGTTCAGAGGGTAGCATACATTAAGTCAAGGATAAAGGAATGTTCGAATTTCTCAAACTGATTTTTTTCACTTGTACAGAGATGCTGCTCACAGAATCCACCCATTGGCTGGTCAGGGAGTCAACCTGGGGTTTGGAGATGTGGCCTGTCTACGGGACCTTCTGGCTGAAGCTGTCTCCAATGGCAGTGATGTAGGTTAGTTCTACCATGATACATGTAGTTTATCCCAATGAGAGAAGAACTATGGCAGAGACATTTCCTCTGTCCAATTACTCAATAATTATTTACAGCTTTGTTTATAGGAGGTCACTTTGCATTATTAACAGCTGCACTTGGGTTTTTAGAGGTTTTATCACTTCTCAAAGATGAGATTGATATTTGGCCCCTATTTCAATTCCTGTATTCTTTTTGACCTTAATCAGATATGTATATATGACTTTGTACTTTCTAAAACTGCTATGTATACATGATGTAAATGGAGAAAGATTGTCAGCAATTTGGAATGCAGCAAGTCTGCAATTAACCATAAGCAAAAATAACCATTCATTAATTTTCGGCCTTTTGTGATTACAGCTGTATTTGATTTTTACTTTCTTCAATGTGAAAGACAAACAATCAATGCTGTATTTAGATTTATAAGGATATCTTTCAGACAATATACATACTGTATTTTATTAAAGAGGCAGAACTCTTCTTGCAGTAAGTTGCAATTGAGGGATATTTTAACTAGTATGTTCTCTAATTGATATACATTTTGATAGTAGATATGTTTATTTTGAACCCTTGAGTGCCAATGAGCAGGTGAGTGATACAAGCCCCTTAGGCCTTTTGTAGTCTAACAGTCTACCACCATTTTCTTTTCCCACATGCTTTAGTCTTTACAGATTTGTTAAATGGAATAAGGTTAGCTGGATATGCAGTAGCTGGCTCTACTTCTACATGTACTGTAAAATGATATATGTACAGATGTAGTCTGTCTCGTTGATGTAAGTAGCAATGTTAAATTCTTTATATGCCTACAACTTAACAGTCTGTCTGATTGTTATAACTGTTCAATGTTTAACACAGGATCCCTGTTGCACTTGACGCAGTACGAGACAAATCGACAGCGAGCAGTAGTTCCTGTCCTGGCGACCGTTGACGGTCTACAGCGACTGTACACTACAGACTTTACACCTGTTGTCCTCCTTAGATCACTTGGCCTTCAGGCCACTAACTCTATGGGCTTTGTCAAGGTAAGTGGAGCAACAGTTGTTGCCAAGGTTAACAGTATACTTTTAGGTATATATGCCTGTGTGTGTTAATATGGTGAAATGAAGCATTGAGTCAATTTACTTAATGGCCTGGCTTGACTGAAGCCCCAAGATGGAAGTCAAGACAGACTGCTGAGAGCAGCAAGTTGGTCTCCTTTTCACTTTTTTAACCCGTGAATGAGTATTTTTAATTGTTTACAATAGTTAACATTCAATCAAATAATGGAAACTATAATGATTGTTTAAAGCTATGATGATAATGAATTATTTAATACTGAGCTTCGCTATGGATTTCAATGTCACACATTGTAATAAAATGTTTGGTCAATATACCCATGTGACCGATTCACCCAATCATAGAATCAGATTGTTATTAAAGGTCTAAATACTGAATTTTTTCTTGGTGTAAGCAGCAGAACACGTGATTAGACAACAAATAACAAAACACACATACCTTAATGTTCAGCTCTTATGGTAAGCCCTTCTGACACTGAGCTTGTTGTTCTGTGGTGTTCCTTATTTGCCTGTCAATAATTTCATTGAACCGTCCTGGAAACAACGATAGGCTGTAGAATAATACAATTGAAGTTGAAATAGCCAGATGTTGCTACATGTATTACATTGTTAGTCAGGGGTTATATATGTATGCAATTGGACAAAATCCTGTCATTCCTACAGAAAATGAAGGAATTTGAAGAGTTTGCTATGTTTCCACTATTGGGCCCGGACCCTCTAACCCCAGGGGGGTCAGACCCACCTTTGATACAAAATTAGTTCCCCTTCACCCAAGGATGCTTTAGACCAAATATGGTCATAATCCTCCTACAGAAGAAAAAGAAAATATTTGAAGAATTTGCTGAATTACCCCTATTGGTCCCCATGGGGGTCAGACCCATCAATTTACCATCCCAATAGGATGTTACTGTCAAATTTGATCAAAATACCTTCATCCCAGTGGAAGAAAAAGGATATTAAAGCTATCCCTCTATATCCCTTATTTGGCCCGCCTCTCTGTCCCCAGCGGGGTGAGGCCTATCGTTTATACAATATTGGTTTCCCGTCATCAAAGGGTGCTTCTTACCAAATTAGGAAAAAATCATGCCATTCCTACAGCAGAAGAAGGATTTTGATGAATTTGCTATGTTTCCCCTATTGGATCCTTCCCCTCTGCTCCAAGGGGGCCTCACTCACTGTTTATACAAAATTAGGTCCCTTTTGCCAAAGGATGCTCCTGACCTATTTCCTCTATTGGGCCCACCCCACTGTCCCCAGGGGGGTCACACCCACTGTTTATACAAAATTTAATCCCTTGGCCAAAGGATGCTCCAGACTGAATTATGATACAATCTATTTGGATGAAAACCTTTTATGCCTACGGTAGAAGAAGGATTTGAAAGGTTTTACCTTTATTTCCCCTATTTGGCCCCACCCCTTTTCCCCAAGGGGGGGCAACACCAATTGTTAATACAAAATTGAGTCCCCTTGGACCAAATATGCCTCAGACTAAATTATGATAAAATCCCTTAATCAATACGGTAGAACAAGGATTTTAAAGTTTTTACCTCTATTTCGCCTATTCCGCCCGCCCATCTGCCCCCAGGAATCTGGCCCCAGTAGGGTTTACACAAAATTGAGTCCCCTTGGCACAAGGATGCTCCAGACTAAATAAGGATAAAATCCCTTAATCCCTTCCGTTTAAAAAGGATTTTGAAGGATTTACCTCTCTATTTCCCCTATTTGGACCTGCCCCTCTGCCCAAAAGGGGGCCAAACCCACCGTTTATTAGCTCACCTGGTCCGAAGGACCAAGGTGAGCTTATGCCATACCGTGGCGTCCGTCGTCCGTCCGTCAACAATTTCTTTAAACGACTTCTTCTTCTTAACCACTGGTTGGAATTAAACTAAATTTGACTGGAAGCATCCCTAGGTGGTGGGGATTCAAAATTGTACAAATAATGGGGCTGACCCCCCAGGGGGCTGAGGGGCGGGGCCAAAAGGGGGCAATTTGCTCATATTGCTTTAAGCGACTTCTTCTCTGGAACTAAGAAGTGGATATCAACCATATTTGACTGGAAGCATCCCTAGGTGGTGGTGATTAAAAATTGTACAAATGGTGGGGCTGACTCCCCAGGGGGCT